ACTCTAGTGTAAATGTAAAATTTGGTGTAACCTAGGTAGGTACTTATAGTTTTTGAGAAAGTAGTATGTTCTTTACCTGTTTAAAATGCCAGCACGAGTAAAACAGCATTCATCCGTCCAAAGCACTTTGTTAATAAAGTTATGCTGCACTTCGATTTAGGAACCAATTGCAAAATTCAATACGATTGGGGAAATCAGCTGCTTCTAAAGCTTGAACTTTTTGAAAATGTGTTATGTTAACTCCTCTACGGGAAAAATGCGGGAGATATGGAGGGTGGTAGGTTTGAATAATCACTTTAAATTGTTAAGTAATCGTTTTGTAACCGTGTGTAGTGTATTTTGTATATTCGGGTATTTAGTGTGCCGACTTTTTTTATTTGATAAAATACGGTGTGCCTACAAACCTCTGCTTTATTTATTTTCTTTTAACGAAAGTTGACTTCGAGAAGTCAGGCTTGTTAAAACATTTTGCACTAAATTATTAAAATTAGTTATAATAAAATGCAGCATGATCCTTTATTTACTTGCATTTTATAGGTTTCGTACATATGTATCCGTATACTAAAGCGGATTAATTAAATGTGAACCACAGATTATGATGTGAACCTGGCAACGCTGTTCGCTTCAGCTGACGATTTGTTCGTGACATTACGTTACAAAATTTTCCGATCATCCGGGCATATGGCAGGGCCGCCCTCTTAGCGGGAGTTATGGGTTGATTTCCTTCATTTTTAAAAGTCGAGTAAAATTTTTTTTTCCGATTTTCTGTCTTTATTAAGCCTTCCGAATACGTGGTTAAAATTAATGACATTATGACTGAATCACCCTGTATAACCTAAGTTGAAAATACACTTTTTAGATACACTGTTAAACCCTTCACCAGTTTTGATTAAACTTTTTTTATTATTATTACCATAGCAGCGCTAGTAAGGACGCCATCTTGAAATTTTTAAATTGTAAAAACTTCTAAATCTAAGGGGGTCTAAATAACATCTTTAATTTGCTTTAATTAGTGCCACAAATAAATTTTATAAGACATGTTTAACTCAATTGACTAATATGACTTTAATCTGATTCGCCTTTACAGTAGTGCGCATACAAATATTTAATGTGCGAACCCAAGGCACGGCACAAATTTCGTCACATCGATTCTCGTTCTGTAATCAATGGGGAGCGATTATTATTTCCTCGCTCCATGTCAAATCACACAATCGGCCCGTTCTTATCAAAGGCCGGTTCAATATCTCGAAGATTGTTTGATGTCAGCTCAGTCTAAATATGTAAATAAATGTCGCATAAGACCGAAAACCTATTCGGTTCTTTCTGGATAGATATTCAGAGCAGAACTTGAAAAATTTTCTGTACAAAAGAAAACTGAATCTCTTTAATGAAAAAATTAAAGGATAACTATAGTTTAATCATCCTGAAGCCTAACTAGCTTGCTTAACTTACAAAATCTAATTTTGATCTTCAATTAGTAAATGAAGTAAATAAAATAACGTTTACAAAACACATTGATTTAACTATTGCTATCATTTTTGACAGAACGGTGTCAATAATTGTAACATATCAAAATGCAGTGATATAGTAAATAGTAAAATAAAAGTATATTTGTTTAAAAACAGTATTAACTGCAAAGAAATAATGTGTAATAAGAATAACTTAATACCACTGCAATAAAAGAAACAAAAAATATGTATGCAAATATTTTTTTGAAATATAGATAGATCCACCTAGAACCGCATTTAATCCAATACTCCAGTAATTCTGTCCAAAAATAAGGCGAAGAAAAGAAAGTGGACCGGGAAAGTCAAATTTTTTATATGTTGTGGGGGGTGCTTAGAAAAGCTTAACTTGAGATTTGAGACCAACATTTCCTATGTGCGTTTTCCGCCATCTTGAAAAAAGGGGTGAATTTTTGTTTTTACTATAACTCTGTTCCCCGTCGAGATACAGAATTGTTGTTTTATTGTTTTTTGTTCCTCTTTCGACGACCTACAATTTAGGTCTTATAAACTTTTCACCTATTATTGTTAGTTATTGAGATATCGAACAAAATTAATAAAAATTCAAAAATTCGATCTGGTTTTTCGGGTTCTGGGTTTCTCTTTTACCTTAATACTTATCGAAAACATATCTATTATAAAACTTATAGGGAGTGTTTGTACGAACAATTTGGTGTCTTTTTTGGCCTTCCTGAAAATATTATTTGTACCATTGATAAACTCGAAGCTGTGACATAGTTTCGTCACCAAAGAACTTTTTTAATATTTCGAACGCTTCGCTGCATTTAATTCACACAACATATCAGACAAATCACCATACAAAAAATCCCCAAAAATACTTTTTCGCTCGCTAAACATAAACTAATCGCGGCAGCTACCTAAAAATTGACAGGTACGTCACTACCAATAGACAGAAAAAGAATCAACTCGATAAGATAAAACACGCGCAATTTGAAAATTCCCATTACTTTTTGATCAAACCCCGTATATATTTAAGTATACTCTCTTTCATGCAGGTACTGAAAATAAAACACTTGATTCCCTTGACTAAGTTATAGAATACCGATTTCAAGAGTGTGTTTGTGCCTTTTTGCAAGAGAAATATGGATGTATTCAAACTGAAATTAATATGAATAGTTTAAAAATACATTTAAGGAAAATTTTAAAATACAGGGTGACCCATTAAGAATGGAAACACTCGCGTACAAAAGTTGTTTATGGACCGATTTGAGCTCGTTTTTTTTTAAAAGATAGATCTGCAAAAGCTCTATCTTGATGCAAAATTTGAAGACGAAATTTTGATTGTCAAGGCCTACTACGATTTTTTTTAAGTGAAAAATAGCAAAATTTTGTTAGCGATTTTTTTTATAAAAAATCTGACTACACCACTGGATTTAGGAACCCCTCAAATGCATTAGTACCAATTTTTGCGAAAAAGTTTGCCCCTAAAAAAGTTATGACAATATCGGCATTACCAGTGTTTGCCGTTGTCGGTGAACCTATTCTTTTATGAAAATCGAATAGAACTCAAAAGGAAACAAAGTTAACAAACACTGGTTTACTAATTATTAATAAGAATCATAAAAACCAATATACACAAAATAAACACAATTACTCTAATATAAACAACAATTGATAAAAAAAGTAATGATTAAAAAATTACATTAAAAAAAAAGAAAAAGGAGTCTATCAAATTGATTGACACTAATCACGTCATTAAATTTAAATTTTTGTAGCTTCCACTAATCCTCCGTTTAATTCTATACATTTTTCATAACGTTTTTTTATATTTTTTTACAACATTTCGTAATTGAAGCGCGTTAATCTCCTCACATGCTTCCCTTATTCTAGTGCACAATACCTCCCGGTTATTTGACCGTGTCTTATAAACTTTGGACTTAATAAAGCCCCACAGAAAAAAATCAAGTTTCGACCTATCCAATGATTGGTGAAATTCTCGTTAAGCCACTCCCTGACATGTCTCGCATTGTGTATTGGACACCCATCCAACTGAAAATGTAGATTTACTCTTTCTTGTAATGGAAGACTATCGACTGCATTAAAAAATTCGTTCTGAACGAAATGTAGAAATTGTTCGCCATTCATATTCCCTTCAAAGAACGGACCAATGACTCTCTCGTTAAGTATCCCACACCAAACGTTAACATTCTGACTATATTGTCTTCGGCAATTAATTATCCACTCTGGATTTTCTGAAACCCAACACAATACAATTCCATTCGTCGAGAATGTGGCCTCATCGCTGAATAAGATATTTAAAAAAAATCGGTAATTGAGATATTGTCCCTGTGCCCAGAGACAACACTCCATTCGTTTCTCATTATCGCCTGGTTCCAGAGTGTGAAGAAACTTAGGTTTATAGTGTTTTATGTTATTTTTTTTAGACAGCGTCGGATACTTTCTCTAGGTAAATTTAAATCTCAATAGCAATCCTGAGGCTATTCTGAGGATTGTTTGTAAAATAATTTAAAATTTCCTGCTCGTGAATACGTCTTCTCTGTTGATTGTCCCTTTTTAAGATGCATTTTGATACAGCACCATATTCCATAAAAGTATTGTTTATTTAAAAACTGTGCTATGCGTAATATTAGGTCTATCTGGATGTCTTTTGTTAAAAATTATACACACATCTCTTGCCGTCCGATCATTTTCTCCACAAAGGCGTACTATTTCAATTTTCTCATGTAAAGTTAAACTTTGAGCCATCGCAAAGAATTATGGAACTTATTTAACCATGCACAAAAAATATTACAATGTGCCACTACTTATAAAGTTTGACATTTGTTCTTCTATTTTTCACAGCCTACCAAATTTTGTTCATATTATTTTTAAGCAACGTTATTTTCTGGATATCGTAATATTTTTTTCAGAAAATTCTTTACAAAGAATTGGATTATGGTTGTAGAATCCAGTGGCTTTTTGAATAAAAAAATTATAAATGTAATTATTTTTGTCTACGAAAGTAATATTTGTTTTGGCATAATAACCACGAAATAATAATAATTTGACGAACTGGTTGTTTATTTTATGTATACTGGTTTTTATGGTTCTTATTAATAATTATTAAACCAGTGTTTGTTATTTAATTTTATTTCCTTTTGGGTTCTATTCGGTTTTTATAAAAGAATAGGTTCACCGACAACGGCAAACACTGGTGATGCCGATATTGTCATAACTTTTTTAGGGGCAAACTTTTTTTCGCAAAAATTGGTACCAATGCATTTGAGGGGTTCCTAAATTCAGTGGTGTAGTCAGATTTTCTATGAAAAAATCGCTAACAAAATTTTGCTATTTTTCACTTAAAAAAAATTCGTAGTAGGCCTTGAAAATCAAAATTTCGTCTTCAAATTTTGCTTCAAGATAGAGCTTTTGGAGATCTATCTTAAAAAATAACCGGTTCAAATCGGTCCATAAACAACTTTTGTACGCGATTCTTAATGGGTCACCCTGTTTAAAAGAAATAGTTGACGTTTGTATAAATTTATTGTTTTATATAGAGCATAGATAAGGAATTAAATATGACTAAATTATGTACAACTTCACAATTATTATCATTAAATAATAATACAAAATCATGAACAACTAGTCTAAATAATAGAAAGCTAAGTATACATACACGATAAAAACTATTTACAATACCACAGACAAAACAGATGGATAGCCATCCTTTCTTAAAATAACGTTATTATAACAAGATTATCGTAATAAAACTTTACGCATAAGGTGCAGTAGGTGATGGATAAAACAAATGACACTATAGGGAAGTATATAAACATTTCAACAAATTTTCTACTACTTATACAACGGAAACTAAAAGACTATTATATCGATGCCTTAAATTAAAATCACAGCACAAAATACTTTAAAGCTTCTAAGCGATCTGATTCTCAGGAACGCATATTGATTTACGAGATCTAATAGAGGATCTGTGAATCATACTAGATCTTATTTCTCCTCGGAAGGAAGCCCTAGTCGAGGCTCGTATCGAGGTGTTCCTGCGGAATTTGCCTTCGTTTTCAGCTTGTTTTTTCCTGTAATGAAATATGTTTATTAGTATGAAAATGCACTTTTGATTATAATCGGTTATTATACTAAACTTATGGTTTTGTGAAGGACACTCTAAAAATATTGCAAACTACAATTAAAATGCATTTGAATCAGCGTATAATGAGTACATCTTCAGCGAAAGAACAAACAAACAGTGATTCAGCAGACGTTAAAGTTAAAGCTCGTGCAAACCGAAATTCTAAAGGAGTACATACTTCTGTAATCTGTATTAAAAAAGATACAAAAATGATGTATTTTTGTTGTAAAATTACAGTTGTTTGAATAACTGAATGTATAATTAAAATTTGCCTAACTCTCTTGACATTTTTGGGTGTTGTTTTGATAATGAAACTTCATACAAGATGTCAAGTATTAGGGCTATTGATTATATTCAAAAAAACAGGGTTAAAAGAAACTATGAAGCAATTTTATTGCATGAATCGTTCAAAGGGTCATTATAGATGAAAAAATCGAGGAGTGCTATTAAATTAGAGGGTGGAAATTGGACATAGGGGTGAAAACGCACCCCTTTCAGTTTTTTTAATTTTATCTTGAAAACGAAGCAAAATTATTTAGAGAATTGAATTTCCCATCGAAATGGCTTATTTAAAAAATTTAAAAGCAAAATTTTACGCAAAAAATCGTTAATTTAAATTAATTTTTTATTAAGTAAAGAACCAATTTGTAGTAAAAATAATAACAATTATAGCCATTATGTTAAAAACGACGAAAATCTAAAAAATATTTAAGTTAGACCTCTTATAACTCAATCAATATTATTCCGGAAAAAAAAGTATTTTATGACATTATTTCTGAGAAATGTTTGGTAATGGTAATCTAAGAGATATAAGATAAAATATAATAAATATGAAATGAAAAAATATGATTTTTCTAGGAAACACACAAGCGGTGATCGAATTTTCAAAAGTATCCAATAATCTCGAATTTCTAAGGTTTTTGATATACATATCTGAAGTCTGTAGATATTTACCTTTAATTAGATAAATTATTAAGTTTCTTCAATAACATGTTAGAAAAGTTTTTTATTTAAATTTTAACCCACATTATATGGAAAACTGTCGATTTACGGATCCATATTTGTATACTTTTGTTGCTTAAAATCACTCAAAGAAATCGCTTCATAAAAATCGACGCATTTCATTTTTACCAATATAAAAGTTTTTATAAAAATCTGTTGTAATTTATTTTAATTGTTCTATCAGTGTGTACTTACTTTGTACAAGGGAAATCCCAAATCTTCTGACCCAACCCGAAGTTTTCACCATCCTGTAATGTCTGTGGTAACTCCTGATCTAAGGTTTCTGGAAGGAACAACGCCAAAACTCCCCCCAGCACTCCCAATACTCCCAGGATTAATAGCGGAAGTGAGACCGATACTTTTGCCTGAAAATCAGAATCCAGTCAGAAAATGTTGATAAATTTACATAAGCACCGTTAACTTTAATTGTTCACTGTTTCTTAAAGGAATAAGGACAAGTTTAATATTGGGACACACTCTTTTCTGTATCTATGTTATTTCCTTCTAGAGACTATAATGGGTTTGTTAATCTTTATTTCATTTTATTATTGATTGTGAGGGAGAGAACAATTTATATGTTATGATTGATAGTTTCGCAATAAAAAGACAAGCTGCTGTTTGTGTAGCTTTCTTACATCACCCTGTAGAATCTATAATGTTCTGAATGTTTGTTAAAAATTAAGTGCTTTTAAAAAGGACATTCGAATCATACTGATGTTTACACAATATGTGTTCGATTTTTTTTATTCTTTCAGTATTTCTGGGTTATTTCTCTAGTTTCCACTTGTAATAACGTAAAAGAATAAGTTTTTTACTGTCGAAATTTACTACTCACCAAGTAAACTACGAAAGGAGCAACAATACTGGAGACATATCCCATAATATGGATAAGGGCAACCCCTTGCGCCCTGACAACAGTTGGCAGAAGTTCGGCGGCATATTGCAACCCAATATTGTAAGAAATATTTATTGCAAACCTTCCCATGATGGCTAATGACGCAGACGGAATACCTATAAAAAGGAGAAAATCAATTTTACGGCTATTCCAAGCTTTAATCTCATATTTTATACGCATAGTAAGGGATACTGACGTCAGAATCCTTTGAATAATATTTTATCTTGAACCGGAAAATAAAGAATATTATTCTCTGCCGTATAAATTTCTTTATTCTAAATACAATAGAATTTAGGATGTTAAATCATAACTAAACTGTAAAATGCAAAAAATTAAGACAATTGTCCACTTTTTAGGTTTACGAAAATAAGATAAATCGTATCGAATAATTTTGTAGATTGACCAACGCTACATAATGTTTTTTTAATAAACACTAAGGTATAAATACATTTAAATTATTTCGAATACTGCAAATTAAAACATATGTTTCATATATGTGTCAAATATATTTCAAAATTCGTCCAACAAAAAATTGAGACAAATTAGGTTCGGAGAAAATGTCAACAAACATTAAAATTGATTTCAATGTTCCATTATTGCGCTTTTATACAATACAGTTAAAACTGTTGGACATTAATACAAATTAACAACTGTCTAGACATGATTGATGATAATTTTTTTCTGAATTTAAATTGACTATCGGCAAATAGCGCGTTCTGAAAATAAATTTAATAATATGTCTCTTTTTTTTAACAAAAAATTCAACTCAGAAACTTAATATCATCACTATAATTGCTTAAAATCTTTGAAAACAAGTCAAGACGATCAAAAATGCTCTCGGCTTTTTAGGTTTGGATTAGTATAAAAAAATTGCTTTATTATTTGCAAATATGCTTTTCATGTTTAAAGAGGAGGAACGTAATCAATATCACATTATCAACAAGAGTCCTTTTTAGATGGAATGTGAAAGAATTCTGGCCTCCTTGAAAAGTTATATGTAGAGAAATAATATGCATGTAATGTAGACAATATCTTAAATTTGTTTTTTGTCACAAAGTAAAGATTGTGGGTCAAGTTCGTCATAACGTTTGTAACGTTCTCTATTCTCTATTTCTTGTAGGCTTTTAATTTGTGAAAGTGTGTAAAAGAAAAAATAATAGTAATGTCTACGAATGTAGACAGATCCATCTTATATTGGTAGTTATCCATTCTGGATGAAAAACCATGAACAAAAATTTGCTACTTCACATATGTAAATGGTTGTTATAGTTTTTCCGAAGTCAGTTGAACATGTATAAAATTTAATGAGATTCATGGGCGTCCCTAAAAAAGTTTTGCGTTACAGGTAAAAAATAATAAAAATTTGTATATAAAAATTTCTATTAGGTATATGTTCATTTTTCCAACAATGTATTTTAATTTTTTATGTCCTCAATTTTCTTTATGTAAATTATAAATTGTCCGCCGAATTACGTCTCTCGTCATGTCATCGATATTTTTACATTTTTGTTTTCGCTTGCTCTTTACGCAATGATCCTTGTTTAATAACACGAAAAATTGTGGACACTGAAACTTTAGTTAATATGTGAATTATATTTATAATTTCATTATCTGATTTTTCATTCTCTTCATTTTTTAAACAATTGTAAATATTTAAAATGAGACGCTGGCATTGAACATGTAAGACCTTATTTTTAAATTTTAATTCTTGTCTGGCGGTATTTCGCTTTATTCCGTTTCAAAAGGTTTCCAAAATGCCATGTTATAATAATATTAGTAAACAAAATATCCCCCTTATTTCTTCCTTCCGCAATTGTTAAATGAATGATTAATAGAAGGTGTCTAAAATTAATTAAAATTACCTAAATCACACCAAATTCCGCATTGCTGTACTGCACTGCTAGGCAATTTGACGACAACTAAAATTTATGGCCGGTCGCCCAGTCCAGCCGTGTTTGTTCGCCGTTTTCCCACGCACATTCTTCAACTGAGCGACCAGGCTTGTATATTGCGGCTAAATAATTATGGGAACAAGTTTTTTAAATATTTCAATGCCGAGTTGTTGCGTAGCGACCGAACCTAGTACATACCGCCTGGCTCTTTGGTCTTCAATTGAGATCGGAAAGACTATACTTAATGTGAAGTGACCGATATCTATTCAGGAAAAAGATTTTTTTGAGGAAGGTTTTCATCTAATTTTTTTTATTCAAATCATTTAATGCAAAGTAATAATATGCGAATTTAAATGCTCAAAGTGTCTCTTGGACTAACAGGAAAGTAAATGTTCCTTGTTTGCTCCACTTAGAGATTAGAAGTGAATTCCTTCCCAGAATTAATTTTAGTCTCTCTTTCATGTGAAAAGCTTTTAAATTAAATTTCCCGAAATGATTGATGACATTCTGAGGCACATAATAACAGAATTAGCATTCTCCCGATCGTCTAATACTTGTCACATTTTTTTTACAAAATCCAATTTTATCCGCATCGAGACAGCCGTTCTAATCTACTTAATTAAATGTATGTAAATTTAAAATTCAATTTTATTTTATTTTAAATGAATAATACGAAAACAAGTGACCCTTTGCTTAATGACTTTTATCGGAAATCAATTTGCGAGGGTAACATGCACTGCACTCCGAGTGGATACGGATTCAAACGGAAAATGAAGCAAATTTTAATCTACTTGCGTGTTAATATGCTCATTGGATGTGGGAAGAAGATATGTTTCATGTAGTTGATGAGATTAATCTAATTTTATTAGATATTTTTAAGGAATAGTTTCAAATACAGAAACACAAGGACTACATATTTTTAATAACTTTAATTGATTTAGTTGTAATACTGCATAAGAAAGGTGTAAATGAATAAAATTCATTATGTTGTGAAAAATTTAAACTAGGATGTAATATTTATATAACGAAAGAGGTACAAAGAAGGCTAATTACAAAAAAAATGCAAGACTAGTTTTCTAGGTCATTAGAAAAATTGAACTATACGAAAACTTATTTTTTTCGTTTAGCTTTCGGCTACCAGACGACAGCCCCGTATTGGTCTCACAATGGCAGTGTGTCCACATGATTACTTTTGGTTTAATTCCCCAGGTTCTACCAACGGTCCTGCAGCACTGCTCATAGGTTATGTACGCCTTTTTTAATCTTCTTTCAAAATGAAGATTCCATGTTAGCTTTGCATCGATTGTGACCCCTAGGTATTTCACATCAGATGCAAAGTTTAGCGTAGTGTTTAGGAGAGTTGGTGTCTTTATTGTCCCTAGCGTTCTCTTCCTCGTGAAGAGAACCATTTCCGTCTTCCTGGGGTTGACTGGCAGAGCATGGTCCTCATATCACTTTTCAATAGTTCTAAGGGCTTTTGCATTCTTTGGCAAAGAATCCCTTCGAATTTTCCACTGATCAGCATAGTGAGGTCATCTGCATAAGCGATGGTATAGATGCTGAGTTGAGGTGGCATAGGAGACTGTCTAGAACTAGGTTTCATAGCAGTGGTGATAAAACACCTCTTCTCGTCAAGGCATCCCCACATTGAATGCCTCCAAATCTTTGGAATGTAAAGGTGTGAAAAGTTCAGCTTAAATATCCGTTCCAGGTGCCTCATTGTAGGAGGTCTGGATATATGCCGTCAGTGCCTGTCGATTTAAGGGTGAGAAGGTTTGCATTGCCCATCTTATTTCATCTTCAGTTACAGTCTAGTTGGCAATCTGCCAATCCATGACTGCAGGTGGGTTTTCAGTTTCGTCTGCCATTTTTCCCGTTCGACTAGTGTGAATCCCGAGAAATGGGTCCGCACAACATTTCCAGACTTTCATTTAGAATGGTAGTTCTCTCCCCATCCTCTGTAGTTAATGGATGATCCTTCTCTTTTGCAGGGATCTTACATAGCCTAGCAGCCTGCGAGTTGTCTTTTCCTGACCAATTTTTTGAAATGTCGAAGGTGGGTTTTCTATGTTTTCCAATCTGAGTCTTGTCATTTTTGTCTTCTTCTTCAGTTCGTTCAGCTCCCGACTCCACCAACTCGTGGTTGCGCCAGTTTGCTGAGCTGGATTTCAATAAATTCCTAAAAATCCAGAAAAATTATTTGGACTGGATAAAGGCTTAATGTATTTTAATGCTCTGAATACTAATTATTCTTTTCCGAGATATTTGAGAGAAATCGCCAAAAAAATATGGAAAAATTGTTAGGAACCCACTTATATGAAAATTTGCAATGAATTAAAAAACTTATTCCGACCAATCCAAGTTTTATTCCAATGTATTTTGATGCACTGGATACGAATCTCACGTTGGTTAACTATTAACTATTTCTTACGTTTGTAACATAACCTTTTTGTCCTAGAGCAGCTTCCGGACTCTTTTCTAACTGCTATCTTTTTTTCAGTACCCCAGAAGGTTGATATCACATTAACATGCCGCCTCCCTGGTGTCTCATTTCAACTTCTTTCAGATGTTGATACCCACTGCTCCTCGCTATAATCTTATATAATAAATTTTCAGCAAAGCACTTCGGTTGGGAATCCAATAAATGAATTTTTATATTCATTAAACATTCTAAGCGTTGACAATGTTATCATTTCTGCTACAATAGTATCGTAGTCCTGGACTTTATGGTTCCCTAAAAAGTTTTGAGCGACGTTTCCAAAGGTCTGTCACGCTGTTCTCTTAATATCTGTCATGGTTGCTATGAAATATTCATCATGAAACATTTTTCGAATTTGGGCTCCATCCATTCCATTTTTTTATTTTGTGTCTGTGAATCAACTCCTTTTTTATAAATGTCACATTCAATTTTCACATTTTTTTATATGTCTTTATATTATCTTTAAGGAATTGCCTCGCTCAACTTTTTGAGATTTAACCAACTTTATGTTGTTTACCGTTTTCAAGATTCCGGTCCATAAGTGAATAACCTTGTATAACAAATGAATATATCTCAATTCAAAGCTTTTTTCTATATTGAGATATATTTTAAATCGATTTAGGTAGAAAATAAAGACATAAAATGAGATCTTATTCTCTAAAGAACACTAAAATTCCTAGAAATAAAATTCAGAAATTTAAAATTGTCTTGACTTGTTTCATTAAACCTAACTTATTCTTTAATAAAATAACAACTGGTTTATATTAAAGTATAAACAAAAAATATATATATTTATTATACTGTGCAAATATAATACAAAACTGATTTGAATTTTTAGTTATGTTTTTTACTGCTAAACGGATACTAATGCAAAAATAAATTAAGATACTTTTTTTGTTTTAAAACCACTCGCTCATTAAAGTTGTATTAAAACGTAAAACTAGCAATGGCGTATCAGTTCCTTCTCAACTTGTAAGACTTCGTCATTAAGGAAGAGAAAATGCTAGCTCATTATGGTTTTGGAAATATTTGGAAAATTAAAATTACTATAATTTGTTTAAGTTTAACGTAAATCTTATACAGAAGCTAAAAAAATCGTTAGGAATACTAATAAAGGAAGACCATGTTTGGCATATTATTATCTTGCTGAAGTATTGATTTCAATTGCACCTACAGTCAAAATAAAATGAAATGTAAAAAATTATTCGAAAATCACGCACAAAATAATTTTGAGATAATTTTATTATGTACGGCATTAAGTTCTGACAATTGGGTTCCGCAATCCCGTCTATGTTTTTAATTATGGGGTTGCGCAAGGACATGGTTAGCGAAACAATTTCTGATTACTTAGCTGAAGAAAATCGTTACAATTACATAAAACCTCGAAAAACAAATAGTACTTATAAGTACCATAAGGAAGTAACTAACAAATAATTAATTAACGTCGATTTTTTCACAGAAACGAACTGTATTCTACTTCCTGTTACTTTTTACTACATGCAATGTTAATAAGTAATTTAATCACTTTTTTATTTTAGTTAAACTGAAAGGAAATGAATCTGTACGATTACTCCGAAACCGAATTTTCCCATCGTTACTTCCGTTTAGCTTTTAACAAGTGAAATCGGCTTTTACGTGAAATGAGGTAGATACCATATGCAGGAAGCTGGGGCTCTTTCCTGTCCCTAAGTGTTTCGCAACTTCCTTTAAAATAAAATTCAAATGCTGATAGTATGAATGGAATTCGTATTTGCTTGAGAAAGAGAGCAATTGAGAAACGGAACTGATTAAAGTTTCTTCAAACTTATTTGGAAATAATATCTTTATAACAGGCATTGAAAAAAAGTTATTTTTGTATGGAATAAAATCTAAAAAATATTACTTAATTTTTTCTCCATTTTCATGCTCACGTGACATGAACGAATTTTGTTTAAACTTGAACAGGTTTCTAGTACGCTTAATTTTTAAACTTACCCAATGGCACTGTTGTAGCTAATAGACTAAATATCCCACTGATAATCATAGAACCAGCTGCCAACCATCTTCTGCCCCAAACGTCCAACACCATAGTCAAGAAGGTATCAGCAGGGAATTCCGTGGCGCTAGCAATGGTGAAGGTGAGGAAGACATCCAAACCTAAGGTTTCCACATTCCTTACATGACCATCGAACACCAAAGAAATTGCCATCCACAGCACAATCAGCACTACTGTAATTTTTCTCAAGCGAGGCGTTTTGAATAAGTCGAGAACTGTGTAATTTTTATCTAGTTCTTCTTCTTTTTGGGCTCTCATACAGGAAGTCTATTATAAAAATAAGTTAAGTTTACTATTTGCAATATTTTTAGAAACAACAGTAGCAGTTTGCATCAAGACGACAAAAATGTCACCTTGTTTACAGAATAGAAAACATCTAGAACAGCAATTCCATTGGAAAGAAATTATTTACCACGCATATTTGTTTGTTAGATATTACTGATAATGTTTTATAAACGAGAAATGCATGAATAGCCAATAAAGTACAGGGAATATATGGAAATATATTCCAGTCATATAAATTATAATTGCTATTCAATTAAATTTATAATCAATATATTTATGAGGCAATTGTGGTCCAATACGAACCCACCAATGCCGTATACAATGTGACGCAAAGAACCAGAACACCCTTGTATATTATTTTATTAATGACGAGCACGAAAAATTGTAATGTCTATTAAATTTAATCCTAATTATACGATTTTAGTAGCAGAGCTAAAATTTATATAGTCCCAAGTGCATTATTCTGTACCATATTATAAATGATATACTTTTTATATGATATTTTAGATTTGTTGTATTTAGTTCGTTAAACAAACCGCAAACTATAGTTATTGCATTCAGTGATTATTTTAGTAGTGTTTTTCTTTAGCCCAATAATAGATTTTAACTTGCCTAACTTAAACATTTCGCTTTTTACGGAGAGTGAAGTCGAGCTGTCAATTCGTAAGTTAAAAAATAAAATGACTTGTGGTTCTAGTGGCTTCCCCAGTTTTATAATAAGAGACTGTACCGCTGCGTTATCTCGCCCACTTGCTATAATTTTTATTCTTTCTCTTAAACTAACATATTTCCCGATCTATGGAACTCTGCCAGTGTCTGTCCTATATTAAAGAATGGTGATTCTGCTCACATAATTAATTATAGACCTGTAACTTTTCTTTACAATTTCGCCAAAGTTTTCGAGATGTCTTTGTATAACCTCATCTGTCCTCTTATTCGTTTATTTGTTTCTATAGACCAGCATTGTTTTATGAATAAACGCTCTACTAATACGAACTTGATTTGTTTTACTCAATATTTATCTAATATTATCGACCAGTAAAGGCAGGTAGATGTGGTGTACAATGATTTCTCGAAGGCATTCGACAGAGTTGACCATAAGCTAACATTGTTAGTGAAGTTGGAGAGACACGGTTTTTCTGCGTCTTTGCCTAAATTATTCGCTTCTTATTTGTCAAATCGCACTCAATATGTTACATTTAATGGTTTCAAATCTAACACCTACGTGTCTACATCAGGAGTTCCATAAGGCTCCAACCTAGGACCATTGCTTTTTTCTATTTTTATCAATGATTTGAGCTCACTCATTGCATGTGATAAGTTATTTTTCGTTGACGATTTGAAAATATTTTCGCCTATCAAATCAAAAGATAATTGTGACTGTTTGCGAATGAACTTGGAAAAATTAACTCACTGGTGCGTGTCAAATTACCTCAGTCTAAACATCTCCAAGTGCATGACTGTTATATTCTCACGTAAATTCAATTTAATTATTTATGAGTACCAAATTGACTCTGAAATTTTGACACGAAGTTAAAGATCTGGGAGTGCTTTTCGACAATAAACTTAGTTTTTCCTCACATATTGAGCTGACTGTCTCATCATCCATGAGGATGTTAGGTTTTATTTTTAGAATGGGTCAAGAGTTCCGTGACAACAATGTTCTGATTAAACTGTATCAATCATATGTTCATTTCAAATTGCAATACTTGGAAGGATATAATCTTTCTATAGAGAAACACTTAAAATTTGTTCTCCATTTTTTTGGCCTATAAAAATGTTCTATGAAATCTTCAGATTTGAAATTGAAGAATTAAAACCTACCATTCAATTTTCGAAGAAGTTACGATGGTGTTCTAGTTCTGAATAGGCCACACTGTATATTGAGGTGTAGCTCGTACGTATCACAACAAAACAGAAATCGATATACTTACATACATTTCAGATAAGAATTCTGTGAAGCAAGTCTGATATAGGTTAACCGATCCTGTTAAGATTGGTAAAGTTTGGAATTTATAGGAAACATAGAAATCGAGTTTAATAAGGAAACTTCGGTTGGTTATATTGCCAATATATTTCAGCATACGTAATTTGTAGAATTTGCGAAAGAAAAGTGCACGCATTTATAAAAGTAATAAATGAAAAAAAAGGTACTTGTTTTGCATCAAATTCGACTCAAATAAACGAAAATGTTTCTCAAATATACAAAGATTAATTAATAACATGAAAAAAATTAGATAAAAGAGAATATTTATCAGGATCCTATTATTTTTTATTTCCTGTATAATTTAAACATATTTAAATGCTATATGTACGTATAACAACTTTTTGCAATAATGGTGACAAAAACTATAATAGACAATTTTCACCACTGTGTCAAAGGATATTTCCTAAGCATTTTCTGTACTGTTGAAAATTGGATTTGGGATACAATTGGTGCTATACTTACACGAAATTGTTTATAAATGTCTTCGCTAACATGTGTCCTATTATATTTTTCGAATCTTCTGAGAATGCCAATTGCTTTGTCTACTTTGCCTTGTGAGACGAGCCACCTAAAAAAGCAATTAATAAAATTAACAATTTCATACACTTGTGAATTAAATTGAAAAATAACTTTAACTATATGTAGTTTGACCAACTGAAATGTACGGGACTAAATCGTTTTAATGTTTGAATAAACACTTAAAAATGTGTACTTAGACGAACTATAATCGAGTTGGGTCCTAGGAAATCCTAATACTGAATCTGAAGGTGAAAGAAGATTTTCAACGCTGTGTACGATTTTGTCTTGGTAATAAAGGAAAGCATTTTGGCAATTGTAAGTCAAATAAACACCCGCCTATCCAAATAACAACATTGAATTTTTTTTTGGTGTGTAAAAGTCATTTTTTACCTTTAATTATACAAGTGTATAACAAATTTTATTACTTTTCGATTATAACCGAATTAATTTCGCATCTTTTTGTTTATTACTCGATCAGCAAGCTTTTCTATTTATGCTCCAGTGGTGGTTAATAAAAATAAAAAAATTAAGAAAGTATAAGTAAAGAGTTTCGTAAAAAAAAATTGGACAAAAGTTGTTGCTTTAGATCAGGGGTTCTCAAACTGTGGTACGCGTACTCCTTGGGGGTACGCGAAAAATTTCAGGGGGTACGCGGGGCGGGTTAATGAAAAATTAAACCATTTTTATTTCTTTCCGTTTCGTAATCACGCAAGGTTATAATTTAATAATGGAATCTAATTGAATACTTGTGTGGTCGACCTGACAACATTCCAAAAGGAACAGCTGATTGAACTACCATGTGATCCGACGATAAAAAAAATATTAGTGCTACGTTGTTAGATTTTTGGATCGGTGTTGGAAAGGAGTACCAAGAACTTTCAAAAACTGCTGTAAAGATCTTATGAGGTTTTCAACTACATACCTATGTGAAAGAAGGTTTTCGAGCTTAACATATCTAAAAAGTAAGTACAGTTTAAGATTGTATTTAACAAAACTTGAGCCGAACATTGAGGAACTATGTAAGAAGAAGCAAGAAGCAAGCTCATCCTCCTCATTAATTTTTTGTAATGCGTTTCAAATATATTTCCAAATATATTGTGTTTTTGATGTAAAAAGTGTTTTGAATTTAACCCCCCCCCTGATAACAAGGGGGTACATTTTTAAGTCTAATATATTTAAAAATAAAACATGTACACTGTAAAAAAAATTCACTCAAATTTCACTTAGTTTCACTCAATAATTTCTGTGAATGAAATTTTCACTCTATTAGTATGAGTGAAACTATTATATTAGAAATGAATGAGTTTTACTCAAATCCGACTTACTGCTAACTATCAATTGAGCGACTTTTGACTCTATTCTGAGTATATAAAACCAATTTAGAGTTGACTTTTTCTCTAATATGATTTAAATTTAACTATCATTGAGTCATTTTTTACTCAGACTTGGTTTTTAATTAACTAAATATTGAGAGCAAAAATAAATCACTCATAAATGATTAACATATACAGTGTTGAAATTAATGCACTTCGCGGGGCCTCCTCCTGTCCTGGCTGAGACCCTCTAACTCAGACCCGCCACCGCCGCCGGCTAAGGCTTGTTCTCCTGGCGATCACGCTTTTCTAGAGCATCTATAGGGTCCCTATCAACTGTGGTCGAGATTACAGAAGCAATATGTAAGTGGTGCCATCTTCACGGCGCCATTCAAATTACTCGAAATTAATATACATTTAAACTCACTCAGTAATGAGGACATTTACTCTGATTTAGGTACAAGTGCACCAAATACAAGTTTACGTGAAGAATTTATTTAAGGAGTACCTATATTTGAGAGAAAGTACTCAATTTTAGTTGAAATATAATCACAAATGAGTAAAATGATCAAAATGCCCAATATTGAGTAAAAGTGTACTCAATAATTTCACTCAATGGATTCACCCTGAACCGATTTTTTTACAGTGTAGTGTTTTCATAAGTAGGTACCTAATTAATATTGAAAATATTAATTTGGAATAATTTATTGCAATTAATTTGAATATGAAAACTATTCCAACCTTTCAAAACAAGAATTTCATACCTACATTCAGAAAAATTTAGAATTTGCCATACAAATGTGTTATTTTAAAAATACTTTCAACACTTATTCTTTTACCAAATAATTCCATGATGTCGCTGATTTTGAAACCGAAATTGAACAAAAATTTCAAAATATACAGACTATGCCAAATTTGAAAATAAATATAACCGTTTAACTGTCTCTTAATATTAAAAGATATTTTTGCGTTTTTTGAATTTAAATCTTGCACTATGCAGGATACGGCCCTTTTCCATCCTCTTATAGGTAATTTTTTTATTCTTAGGTATATGTTAATTATAACATCAGCAACAACAGAATTTTTTGATATTACCAAATGTCCGCGTTTCTATTTTAATTAATCTTTTATCTATAAAAATTGCCACCCTGTTATTGAAGAATGCTGTGAAACTGTGTTTGGCCGAACCTGAATTATCGATAAATTCATTATCGGGCAGAAATCTGGAGTCAGTACTTATTTATAGCACCTAAACGGTCTTCAATGTGAACATGGTCATATCGGCTTTCAGAATTTATACCTCACTCTACCATTTACGTAGTATTACAACGCGGAAGCTCAGTTATTGAACCCATCTGCAAGAATAAAAAGCTATCCGTAATTACAGGTATAGTGCCGGCAGGTACTTATAAGTTACTTTGTTACGAAAATCGCTGCAGGTGTGGTATTTTTATCTACGCTTACTGAACTTGGATATTTGTATTCCAAGGCCTTAGATTCGCTGCATTTTTTAACTCGTCAAAGTCACTCTCGCTTTCGCTCAGGCAATTCTTATAATAATGTCTCTAATTAGTTGCATGTCAACATTTCACTGTACAGAGCGTGTACAACATTGCTATCTTGGATGTTTTTAAAAAATATGACGAATTTTATTTTCAGAAGCAAAAATGTAATGTAATATTCCTAAATTTTATATTCTTTCAAACTATTAGCGATTTTTTAAGTTTATCCTTCATCAAATGTTTCAATTTTTTCTCGCTTTGACACCGTTGCTCCTAAAATAATTATTACGCCAAAAAAAGAAAAAAAAAAGAGTTGTTAACTCGTACCATAAATACTATGATTGTATAAAATATAAAACCTCCAAAAAGCAACCAAAAGTAGAAGTGGAACTGGAACTATCATAAATATTTGAAAAACCAAACTAACATTGCCATATGCAATGAAAAGAAAAGATATCTGGAACATTGCATCAATAATAATCAGTAATCACAATAGTAGCAGAATGTTATGGATGAACTTAACATTTATTCGAATGGAACTGTAACCAGGTTACCAGAATACTTAAACCAGCCAAATGATAAATAATTATTTTTGACAATTTTCTTGTAGGATAAATGCCGTAGATAATGGTCTTTTACAATAGTGCAATCAAAGCTTGATACTAATTTTGATTTCTTGTTTGAATTTACACGGTATCAGAAAGAACTATGAAACAAATACAAAATTGTTAAAAAAGTTATATTGGAAGAGCTGATAATCGATGATATTGGAAGAATAAAGATACTCTTGTGATCTAAAGCATCTGATTTTAATACAAATTGTTGCTATCTATTACGTTTCATTATATTTTCAGAGAATTTAATAAAAGTTAAGCTAACTGACGAAGGAGTGTCATTTCAGGGAATCATCTTATTTGGAGTACCTCAAGGTTCTATTCTTGGACCACTCAATTTAGGTACTTGTAATTTGTATAAATGTTTACAAAAGGGTAAGGTATATTTTACGCAGATACTCAAATTTATTTTTCCTTCGTTTCCAAAGAAGTAAAACACCATAGAGTGGTCTTAAATGTTGATATTAGTGGATTGGTTGAATTCTTTAGGAAAACATCAGACTGACATAAATGGGACAACATTTTTCAAATTTCAGGAACACGATTGAAAATGAGACATGAGAATTTGCAGTGTACAAAAGTAGTTACAAATTTGGGATTATTATTAGACATGGACTTACATTTCAAACAGAATGTTAACAAATGATTTATTACGGTGACATGAAAATACAAATGGTCATATTATTCCAAGTATTTCTCACATTTTTTTATACATATGATATTGCACCCAGTTTACATTTATGTCACCTCCTCATTTCCTACTTTTTCATTGATCTTTTTCCTATAATATCTATAAATTATACAATAGCATTGCAATAGATACTAAATTAACGAATTATATCGCTTGTAAACCTAAAAAGAAATATATTTTCAATCATTCCGACTATGAGAATGTAAAGATTTGTTTTACATTATATTGTATCTGCCTATATTTTCCATATTTCCTGTCTTATTTCCTTCCACTGATAAGCTACCTCATACGAGTAGTGTTAAATAACGTATCTGTATTGTAGGTATTCTGTAATTTAGGTCTAAACTTTGAACATTTATTAATTAATTTTAAACTATACAGGGTGTTTTTAAATGAAGTAGCAAAAATGGTACCTGTGAATGTAAAGCCAAAAATAAGAGGATTGAAGGAAAAATACCCTATATGAAGGATGCACCCCTAGGCGATATACCCTCTTAAAGGAGGGGATTGAAATTCACATTTTAATTTTTTTCTTTAACATGAGGAATGTTAGAGATACGAAACTTGTTATGAGCATCCTACTAATAAATACACAACTTTTCAATATTTGTTCGATCATTGGCGTATTTTATAAAGGAGTGAAACAGTCAACCCCATTGCAATATTTTATTTGAAATTTTGTATATGAAGCAAATTATTTATTTAAAAATATGTATTGAAAAGAATGATTTATTGCGCAACTTTTTTACCTCTTGTAATTTTTCGATAAAACCGATAGTTTTCTAGTAAAAAAAATAGATGCGTTACCATCGTTCACTAAAGGGATAATTGCAAAAATTTGTAAAAATGAAGTACGCGAATGTCATAACAAATAAATTGTTATTTATCATATTAATAAATTGACACTTTCTGTCAACCAATAATTAGTACCAATTAATTAATTTATTATCAGAATAATTATGGCAAATAATATTTATACCAATGACAAATATGTCGACATGCTCCAAGTGTTTTTCGAATCCAGAAAGAATAGTAATGCTGCATTAAGATTATACCACCAATAATATCCAAACCGACCGATTCCTCATAGACAAATATTGGCCTCGGTGGAAAGAAGGCTTCGCGAAACTGGCATAATTCAGCCTAATCGTGAGGGTGCCGGAAGAAAGCTTAATGTCGGAACTGTAGAAACTGAGGAAGCTATACTGGAACATCTAGAACAAGACTATGGTACAAGCATAAGACAGGTGTCCAGACAACTGCAAATTTCTCACAGTCTTGTGTGGAATGTAGCTCATGAAAATCTTTTATACCCTTTTCACCATCAACCCGTGCAAGAATTGAATGATCCTGATTTACCTAACCTCGTGGATTTTTGTCAATGGTACATTAATATTTCCAGACATGAATTTCCTAATGAATAGGTATACCGATGAAGTAAATTTTCCTAGAGTAGGTGCAGTAAACCTTCATAATGTTCATTCATGGTCGGAAGAAAATACTCATGAAATATTTGTTTTAACATATCAACATAATTTCAGTTTAAACGTTTGAATGGGAATTGTAGGAAATACTCTAGTAGGTCCTTTTATTCTTCCACACAGGTTTGCAGCGGCCGAATATCTTAGATTTTTGAACGAAAATCTTCCAACATTACTTGAGGATGTGCCCCTCGCTACACGTCAGGTGATGTGGTATATGCACGATGGAGCGCCTGCACATAGTACACTTGCCGTTAGAGAATGGTTAAATTTAAATTACCCGAATCGCTGGATTGGTTGCGATCGTGATGTCCCTGTTTGTTGGCCTGCACGTTCACCTGACCTAACGCCTATGGATTTCTTTTTGTGGGGCCACATAAAAAGTATTGTTTATGCCACTCCTGTTGCCTCCTTAGAAGAACTACGCTTAAGAATATTTCAGGCAGCAGATGACCTTCGCAATAACCAAGAACTGTTTGTGCGAGTGCGTTATAACTTCAACAGACGTATTAGGTTATGCTTGCAGCAAAATGGAAATTATTTCGAGAATATTCTTTAAATTTAATTTTGCATTTCTTGTTTTTCGTTTGTATTAAATTTTATTTCAGATAAATAACTTTACCTAATACATGTCCCATAGTCATAAGTTATCAAACATTTTTCATTAATTAATAGCAAATTATTCTTAATGTTATTATTAAATTACCAGCTTATTGACAGAAAGTGTCAATTTATTAATATGATAAATAACAATTTATTTGTTATGACATCCGCCTACTTTATTTTTACAAATTTTCGCAATTACCCCTTTAGTGAACGATGACGCATCTAATTTTTTTACTAGAAAACTATCGGTTTTATCGAAAAATTACAAGAGGTAAAAAAGTTGCGCAATAAATCAGTCTTCCCAATAAATATTTTTAAATAAATAATTTACTTCATATAAAAAATTTCTAATAAAATATTGCACTCCTTTATAAAATACGCCGATGATCGAACAAATATTGAAAAGTTGTCTCTTTATTAGTAGGACGCTCATACCAAGTTTCGTGTCTCTGGCATTCCTCATGTTAAAGAAAAAAAAATAAAATGTGAATTTCAATCCCCTCTTTTAAGAGAGTATATCGCCTCAAGGGTGCAACTTTCATATAAGGTATTTTTACTTCAATCCTCTTATTTTTGCCTCTACATTCACTGGTACCATTTTTGCTATTTCATTTAAAAACACCCTGTATAAGTACGAGTATGTTTTACCACTTTACTACCTATATACTATTATTATCTTTCTATCTCTAATGGCTTCGAAAATAGCAATGTTATCGCATCCAATTTGAAGCGCTCTGGATACTGTTCCCAAAATGAATGCTATTTTTTGTCAGTAATAATTTACCTGGCAGATTCAGGAACAAGCCAAGGTGTAAATATTGCCAAAGCCAGGGGCGCCGACGTGACGTAACAGAGCATTTTCCAATCAGCAACATAATAGGCTATCCAGGGCAGAATAGAAGCGGCGAACGTGAAGAAAATTGCGATGGACATATTAGCGACGAAGGTTCTCCATTTGGGTCCCACGTACTCCAGCACTGAAACAAAATTTTAAGAATAAATAACTTATTTGGGCGAAATAACAGAAAATGTTCGGAATAAAAACTACATCTGCTCTATTTAAAGTTCAACGCTGTGTTGGTTTTATCTTCATTTCAGTGTAATGACGATAAGCAAAAAATAACGTTCTTGACGCTCTCTTTCATCCATGGGCGTCCGCAGGAAATTTGCCAAGGCGCAAGGCCAAATATAAACTATAAAGACCATTAAAAAGTAATACAAACTAATATACTGAAATTGTTAAATAATGCAACCATTCAAAGAAATATCCTGTATTCTTGCTGTTCTATTGTCACCCTTGATAAAGATTAATCACGTAAGAACCGCATTTTATTTCCAGGTAGTATTGCATTTTTTTTATTGTAGATCATCGAGAAAACATAGATATACTTTTTCCATATAATTTATTTATAATTTTATATAAGCTTCGCTTAAATACACCAGGAAATATAGAGTTGGACGCGACTTTTTGTTTCGGCAAGCTGAATTTATCACTATAGATGCTAAATATATGTACAATAACATATTAGTTTCCACAGTCATAAAAATAAGATTGTTTACAGGGTGGTTAATTGTATAATTCTACGTAAACTCACGTTTTTCGCTTACAACTTTTTTCCGTTTATTTCACGAGAAAACAGTAAAGTACTTTTTTTTCGTCTTCAAAAGACCTACAAAACTAGCCCTCGATCGTCAAAAGATATTGATTAGATCAAAAGTTATAAACAGAAAAAGTTTATTTAATACTTTTGAATTAAACACTTATAAACTGCGTTATTATTACCAGAACCTTTTGACATCGCATTCTCTCATTCCTTATCGCTGTCTAATAACACACGAAATCTGGAATCGGTAAGTTGAATAGTTTACAAGCTATGGCCTTATAAACAAATTAACTAATTATTAGCCTGGACGATCCCGAGGATCTTCCACAATCGCACTGTTTTTTTTTTCAAGGTAGATTTCATAATAATACGTTGAAATCTATATTTTTTTTTAAATTTCAAATTTGCAAAAAATTTTTTTTATTTTTTAGCCTTAGTTGCAAAATGAAATATACAACGCACGAGCGTGATATAGTTATATATTATTATATATTCGGAAAGCTTATGAAAAGAGCGTTAAGTTAAAAAAATCGTCAAGATTCGTTGAAAAACAACGGAGTTACAGACTGTCAAATATATTATCTTCAAGCGAATTTCGCTTATTTAACGGCAGGACTATGAATATTATCGTCATTTTCTTCGGACTCGCTGTCGTTCGCTTCCCCCACCCTTCCGCCGCGCCACGGCTCGCCGAAAATCAACCGACCCACTGACTTTTGATATGATTTCTTATGCACTTAACACTCTTCCACAATTAACATATTTTTACCTGGGAAAGTACTCGGGTTGCCTGTTATGACAGTTTTTTTTTGCAGCTACCAACCTAATTTGTTTAACAATAGGCCGTCAACTTTAATAGTCTGTAACTCCGTTGTATTTCAACTAATCTTGACGATTTTTTTTTAACTTAAAGCTCTTTTCATAACTTTTCCGAATATGTAACTATATCACGCTCGTGCGTCGTATATTTCATTTTGAAACTAAGGCTAAAAAATAAAAAAAATTCCCAGATTGTAAATTTGAAATTAAAAAAAAATATAGATTTCAATGTATTATTATAAAATGTACCATAAAAAAAATCAGTGCGATTGTGGAAGATCTTCGGGATCGTCCAGACTAATAATTAGTTAATTTGTTTATGAGGCCATAACTTGTAAACAATTCAACTTACCGATTCCAGATTTCGTGTGAGTTATTAGACAGTTATAAGGTATGAGAGGATGCGATGCCAAAACGTTCTGGTAATAATAACGCAGTTTATAAATGTTTAATCCAAAAGTCATAAACAAACTTCTTCTGTTTGTAACTTTTGATTTAATCAATATTTTTTACGCTCGATGGCTAATTTTTTAGGTCTATTTAAGATGAAAAAAAGTACTTTACTGTTTTCTCATAGTCCAGTATATGCGTAGTGTGAGAAGGGTTCACCTTGCAAAAAATAGGGTAAAAGGTTGTTTTTTTTATCTTGTTCGGTAAGCTGTGGGTAGTGTAAAACCAAGTTTGCGTCCTCGTACGACCTGGGAAAAACTTTTTGTCGGCAAGTTATATCCTCAGCATACACATTTTTTCCACTTATTCGGAAAATTTATCTTCTAAGTGACGAGCTGCGCATTATACGTTTTAAACAAAGTATTTATAAATATTTGACATACTTTTAGAAATAGAATAATAGCCATCTAATGGTCATGTTGAAAAAAATTTTGGAAGAACACTCAATCAAAGTGTTGCAAGTAGTAGAGGATGCTTTACGTTCTTATCGTCAATACAGCTTTGTCAAAAGTTGCCTTATTCGATAATGTGGTTGTAGTAAGTGAGGATGTTGATGTACTTGTTGTGCTGATAGGGCTATCCAATTGATGCAAAAATATATACTTCCTCAAGCCAGGGAAGAGTGGCAAAGGTGACTCCTATTTCTCAATGTCATCATATCAGTATGACCCTCACTACATTCTGTTTGCACATGCATTCAGTGGTTGTGATACAACCTCATCCCCATTCGGCCATGGAAAGACCAAACTGTGTACCCTTATTGAGAAGAACCTTGAGCTCAAGAAACTTGCTTCAGTATTCTACAAGTCTGAAGCAACCAAAGACGAAATCAACCGTGCAGGAGAGAAACTTTTTATGGCACTGTACAATCCTGGAGTGAGCACTAGTCAGGGAATCAACGATATTAGATACCAGATGTTTGTCAAGATGAGTACAAAAACAAAGATCAGCCTACTCAGATTGCCACCTACAAAAGATGCAGCTGAAAACCATGCGTTCCGCACATTCCACCAAGTGCAATGCTGGCTGGGTAACAATCTAGATCCAGTAGAATGGGGATGGAAACGTGACAGTACTGGCCTCATTTCGAACAAAATGAAAAACGATCCAGCACCAAAGACTTTGCTGCAACTAATATACTGCAGCTGTAAGAAAGGATGCAATAGTGCATGCACCTGCAGAAAATCTGGTTTGAATTGCACTACAGTTTGCAAAAACTGTTCAGGAATTTCGTGCACTAACACTCCGCCAATTGAGATTGATGAGGGAGACAGTGATGAGGATTGTGTTGAAGCAGATGAGGAACTTGATGTTGAAGCTTGTGAACAAGATTACGTTGAATCAGTTTGTCCGGTACCGGAAACTTACGATCAACCTGGGCCTTCTAAACGTCAAAGACTTATGTAATTCCCCCATCATTTACCATGTTTTATATATCCATCGTAATGTTTACCCCTTTCGAATAATAAACATTTTAATTCATTGAAGCTTTTACTATGTCATTTCCTGTTATACCTAGATGTACCTACATAGAAGGTACATTATGTATATAAATTATATACAAACATATACATACCTAACAAAATGGTATAAAATTTCAATTTTCCAACGTCGATTGCGACCATATTACTGGATCAAAATCAAACTTTAAGGTACTCATTCGACGCAGAATTTTATACTCTGTAATTATTGTAATAGTGAGGTTGTCGCTAGAAACCATAGTTTGAAAGTTATAAGCGAAAAACTGAAAAAAGTCCGGAAATTTCCTGGTTTTTTGCTCACTAAAAATTCTCACCAGGTCGTACGAGGTGGCAAACTTGGTTTTACATTACCCACAGCATACTGAACAATATAAAAAAAAAACCTTTTACCCTATTTTTTGCAAGGTGAGATGTACCTATATACTGAACTATCATGGAAATAAACGGAAAAAAGTTACAACCGAAGAACGTGAATTTACGTAAAAATTATACAATTAACCACCCTGTAAACAATCTTCCCCCCATTTTTATGACTGTGGAAACTAATATGTTATTGTACATAATATTTAGCATCTATAGTGATAAATTCAGCTTTCCGAAACAAAAAGTCGCGAAATGGTCATTTCACAGCTTATTTTCCTGGCCTATAAATACCTCCCAATATCACATTTTTTTAATTCAGATGTATTTAACGATATTTGAAATCAATACGACTATTGAAGTATTTTTAAATTGTTAAAGAATCACATCGTGTAAGCTAAAATCTATTCAATTCCTATTTTTATAACAGTACAATGATGTTGGGATGTCTAAAAACGAATTTTCACTCCTATGTAATTTTAATGAAGTGTCTGTGTCAACTTTATTTTTCGTTTTATAAACACATCCTTCCCTTAATTCGATATTGGACACCTATCATAAATAAAGTTCGTTAGATCATACCGAATTAAATTTTTGCCGTGTTCACAAAAAATCGTCCCTGGTTTTCCACCCACTCTTGTTTTTCTTTCATTATACCGTTAATATTTTTATATTTCGGTATTAATTGATTGATACTTATTTCAGACCCAGACCAAAGGTCACCAGGAAAAGTTACATTGCATTAACTTTTTGGTATCACTTTTTGCCGAATAGAAATCATTATCGAACAGGAACTAGTGGTTAGCGGATACATTTCATTAAATTTAACTGAAACAAATGCTCGGAAGTATTTAAAGTTCGTGTAGGAGGAAATATGCAGCCAAACTTGATTAGTTTAAATATTTTGGTTCCCCTATTTTTTGTCGTGGGAAGAAACTTGTCTAGATTTCAATGAAACATTTTACAAGCCTATTATTTATTTAATTAATGACTGAATTTAAACCATAACATTTACTTTTCAATGATATTTCCTTCAAATTTAGAGAAGCAAGTATACAATTACTCCTCCCTAAAAAAACATTTTCTCAGGCACAACCTTCGGATTTGAATAACAATGGAAATATACGGTGTCTGCGATAAATGTTATATAATTCTTGAAAAAGTCTTATAATGAGATAATGAAAATGCGAAGAAATTTATTAATAAAAAATATCGACAATAACTAGTTTTAACATTTCTAAAATTTATTTAAATCGAACTTATGGTTTTAATATGTACAGCTTTCTAAAATGTTCTAAATTGTTGAATCATTCAGTCTTTTATCGCATTCGCCTTGTAACCAAGTTACAGTTAACACTAATGAAACCCTTATCCCTACTTCTTTAAGCTTCTTTCATTTTGAAGTTAGCGACTAATCCTTCTTTACTCTTAGAAATTTATCCCCTGAAGTTAAATAATCGTATATTAATCTATACCTAAGGTTCTGAGATTTATTACTTTACTTCCAGCCAAAGAATACAAAATAAATCCAAGAAATCACAGCTCTGTAAGTATTAGGATACTAAGACATTTGTTGAAAGAATTTCTTGATTTATATTTGATAATGAAAATGATTTATGTAAAATTTAAAAATACAGGATGTTTTCTCTCATAAAAGTCATTCCTTAAGTCATTTTAAACTAGAAAGCCTTAATGAACCAAGGATCTAAAGCCACTGAGTCTCGGGTGGTAAACATGAGATTTTTAGTCAAATGTCTTTTGCTTAGATTGATAAAAAAATACGCATTCAAAATAATTTATATTCTTACCAAAAAGCAAAATTCAGTCATTTCTAAACGCACAAATACAAAATAAACTACAACATATGCTCAAAACGAACACCACCATTTTCGACACCTTCGAATCCAACTTTCGCGCACTCGCTGGAAAACACCTCAAGAAAAGGAAATAGTGGTACGCAAAAAAACACTCAGACACGGTCCAGTTCCAGATACCAACTATATTATGTATTGCTTGACAGCTTAGTACCTCGTGTTATCCGCCGCGCCGTTGTCACATTGCTCGATATGAATTTTATCGAATTTTAAATTTATTACAACGCTAATTATTTTTTTGAATTAAGCATAAATAATATTCCTTAATTAATCGAATATTAAGTTGGAGATTTTAATATTTTTTTTTTCTCGGAAATGGTTGAGTTTAGGATCCATAAGCTTTTTTTGTTTATTTTCTGTCGTCTGTTAAAATTGTGGCAGTCAAACTTCTAACACCCTGTATATTGAATGGAGCGATATTTTTATCAGTTCACCAACCTGTATCTCGAAAATTAGCGATTGTAAACTCTTGGCTTTTTGGTCTAAAATGATTCAAGGAACATCCTTAAATTATGACATTGACTTGTATAAAAGGTGTTTACAGACTTTGAGGAGAATTTTTAAAGAGAGGTAGAATGGATTATCAATAAGCATTTTCATTCATAAAAATGGTTGAAACTGTAAAATGTCGTTTTTTAATCATTTTTTCAAACACAGTTGAAGGTACAGACTTCAAACTTAGGACAGTACAGTACAGCACAGTACACAAATAATTTTAAGTTGCAGATGTTGATAATCGTTTTCAACCATAATTTTAATTTTTTGTGCAATTTACTAAATGCACCACTGACGAGTAAGTCCAAGATTAATGTTAATGTTAGGAACACCATCACCAAATGCAACAATACTGTTTTTTTTAACAATTGAAATGTATTACAGAATGGTGCAGCTGTTTTATTGATCTACGTATGGGTCTATGGTCCTACCAAATGGGCATGGGTTTTCGCAAACCTAAAAATTGTACTGGATTCCAACTATAATCTGCTCATTCAAGCTCATAATACCGTCATGGTTTTCAAAATTTGAAAAAGATATTAAAAATCCATCGTAATGCTCACCTAATATGTACATCATAGTAAAGCAGTTGTCGAAGGCCATGCCAACCAAGAATCTGCAAACGCAAAAAGACCAGAAGCTGCTGCAAAATGCCGTGGCGATTCCGCCGATGAATCCCACTATGTTGGTTCCTAGAAGAGCGGGGATTCTGCCAAATCTGTCTGCGATCCATCCGAAAACCAATCCTCCCAGTATGGCACCACAAAAGAAGATGGACTGTGCCGTAGAGGGAAGCGCTGAATTTTCGCAAACCCAATTTTGCTAGAAAATAAACATAATTCAACTAGATTAAAAAAGAAACAAACATATACGTATATTCGCTCAAGATGGAAAATTAAAAACAATTTTTCATGTATTTACGTTTGTTGTCCGTAAGTGGACATTCCAAAAGCTAACAGCAAATTAACAATGTTTTCAGAAAGGTGTACCCCACGAAGATACCATTTTATGTAAATTTTGAAATTAATAAAAAAAACAATAGACAGTTTTATGTAATGATGGCATATCTTTCTCCAATCAAGAAGACCTACAAAAGTTATTCATTTATTGAAGAAGTGCTTCCTGTTCTTCTTTATTGTGGGTGGATGGACCTATATTTTTGACTAAATATCCTATTTCTTGATTTTTTTTAATTTTTCGCTGAATTTAAGGCCTAATAAAAAATATCATTTTGCAGCACTCTTGAAAAAAATCAAAGACAATTGTTACTTAACTTTAAAAATTAAGTGTCAGTTTAGATTCGTAGCGTCGCTCTATTCTTTTGTCCGTTTAGGTTCTCTAGAACTAAGTAACTTTTTTATTATCAATTTGATGTAAAAAAGATATTCTTTATAAAAAGTTCTGGTTTTTGAAAAAGTGCTATTAAATTTTAAGAAATGGATCTTCAATTCAGAATAGTAAAAATGTAAAAATAACGTTTTATCAACATTTTCCACATCATTTGGATGAAACGCCTCAATTGGCTAGTTAGATTTCCCAATCGAACAGAGGCATCGACAAAAAGTAAAGTTTACTTTTCGCGTGCCTTATGAAATAATGTTGTTTTTAACGGACTTGTAATCCACGTACAATTACGAGGCGTGTAGAAAGTACAAATTATTTCCGGTGCTGCTTCTAGGTGTTTTCTGGTATTGACCCAGATATACTAGTGCGTGAATTATCTAGGAGGTTGAAATATAAAATGAAGGCTATTTTTATTTTTCACTATAAAATGCGTTACATTACGGTTAAGGGAGAATTGCTTTTTTTACAGACGCCCACATGTTTCTGGCGAACAAATGGGAACATTCAGGGTTAGAGGATACAGATGAAATTGATCATTTACTTTTAACGCGAAACAAATATTGTAACATTAATGCCATTGTCCGAATTAAAGTTTCCTACCACCCTATTAGGTACCGATTAATATACATTTCCTGTTATTGTTAAATACATCACATTTTCTGATATTAAACTAATAACAATTATAGCAAATATTTAGGAAGGAAATGCAAATATACCATTTTTGTAGTACCTGTATACCCTGTCTTTATTAACAATGGGTTCGTATGTATCCATAATACAGGGTGACCCACCAGTAACGCCTCGGTGGCTAGGGACCAAACGGTAAATGTTTCCTGAAACCTGTTTCGGTGGGTAGGTGAAATATACAGGGTGTCCAGGAAAAGCGTACCATATCAAAGTTATATATTTTTAAATGGAACACTGTATTTTACTGCATTTTTGAAAGCTCCGCAAAAAATTAGATGAAACGTTCTGCATACCTAGGACTTATTGTAAAAAGTAAAAATATGCTGGGTGTCCCATTTAAAATAACCAAATTATTGCTGTTTAAAGTTGAGAGAAGCATCCAGCAGTTTTTTGGACACCCTGTATAATACTATGTGACGACAAATATAATAATTTATAACTTCAAGGATCTAAAATACACCCTCCAAAACTGCTTCCTTAAAAATATTTTTTTATTGCTAATATTAAATTTCTACGCTAAGCCTGCATTTCCACTAAAATTGAAATATCTCACAAACAATAAATCCTAGGTATGCAAATCCTTTAATAAAGTTCACCTATTTTTTTACAGTGCTTTAAATAATTCAGTAAAATACAGGGTATTCCATTTAAAAATACATAACTTTGATATGGTAGGCTTTTCCTGGACATCCTGTATATTTCAAAAATGTAGCCGTAATCAAGTTACACGTACCCACCTAAACAGGTTTCTATAAGGTTTGCCGTTTGGTCCCTAGCGACCGAGACGGTACTTGTGCTACCCCCCCCCCCCCCCGTATATAATGGTTGATATAGTAGAAAACAACTATTCCGTGAGTGACTTAGTGCCCCGACAGACAATAAATTATATTTGCAATATCTACAAAAACACCTAGGACAACTTAAAATTTGAATCAGCAGACATATTCGGATTCGGACTTGTTTGTACTTATCAATACAGTGTAGGAAAGTACCGATGGTCTATCAGAAGTTACGTGAGATCGATAAAGTAAGCCATAGAAATCCATGTGATAGACAAGGATGGCTATAATGAAGGCGTCTAATAGTCAACGCCCATTTCGCCCTTCCACAAATAAGATCCACTTTTTATATAGCCATCCTTGTCTATCACATGGATTTCTATGGCTTACTGTATCGCTCTTACGAAACTTCTGATAGACCATCGGTACTTTCCTACACTGTATGACATAGATGAGACACATGATGTCCAACCACACAAACAGCACGCTCAATGCAGTTTTAGACATTGAGTAGCGAAGTTCATTAACAGATCCTATATACAGGGTGGTCCGAATTTTATGCAGGAAACTTCGAGGACAGATAGATCTCTTTAAAATAATAGGAGTTTGCCTTATAAACATAGGTCTGGAACGGCCTCGTTCTTGAGATACAGGGTGTTGAAGTTGTTAACAAATATATATTTTTTGTTTATATCTCAGGAATGTATTAACCGATCTCAATAAAATTTGGTACAAATAATGTACGATAGTAGGCCTTGCATTCCCTAAAATATGAGCTCTAAAGGTTTCACCAGTGGTGTACAACTGGACAGGGGTCACCCCCTTTTTATAAAAAAAAAACTACGCCACTGTATTTTTTACAAGTTATTGTAACGGATTTATATTCTAATGCATTACATAAGTAAAAAATGTGACCTGAATTTTTTCCCTAAGGTTCACCATTTTCAAGTTATTCATACAAATACAATCCCCTTGTGGCAGACACTTCAATCATAATATTACAAAAATATTTATGTTTGTGCATAAAAGTAAGTGCAATTTGTAAGCACATCAACAAAATTCTCCCCACATCACTTGTGAGGTAGTGTTCCTGGTGTGTTTTAGTTTTCCCTGGAGGCATTATCTTTACAAATAAGAACAATTTAAATCAAAATAATAATAAAAATACATGTATTTTACCAAGCAACAACAACTAAACAAGAAACAAAATTAACGTTAAGTATTTACAGCAATTGTTTAAAATTCGAACCACCCACATCGATACATTTCTGACATTTTCTATTAATTGAACTAATTGAAGCTAATATCATGTGGTGGTTTTCTTTTAATTCAATACACCTGTCTTCTATTCGCTGCATTAGTTGTGGTCTAGCATATATTGGAGTAGAGTAAACTTTTCAAGTAGGTCACCCCAAACATAGAAGTCCAGGGAGTTTAGATCTGGCGATCTGGCTGGCTAAGACACTGGACCCTCTGCACCATTATGGTTGGCATTGGCATTTGGTCTTCTACCTATCCATCATCTCATATAATTTTCATTAAGCCATTCTTGTATCAATATCAATATCAATTATCAATATATATTAAAATCTGATAGCTCCGTCTGCGTCGCACGATCGGCCCGAAAAAGCGTCGATTTCCAGACTCAAAGGCTTTGCGGGGAAGCCGCGCAGCGGCGACCCGCGGGGGGCGAAGCCCCCCATCTGCCTTCCTCCGTCCGAACGTCGTATTTTGATGCCGATTTTTTGTCGTCTTCGAGGTGAATTTTGAGTTTTCCTCGGGCTCTGCGAGGGGCGCGGCCCAATTTTTGTGTGAACGGCGATAGTCCGACACGCCCACCCGCAGAAATCAGACGGTCGCCGATCGCCTGGAATCGCGCGCGTTTACGGCTTTTTTATTTTTTATTTCCCCCCTTTTCTACGATATTTCATTTAAAACCGTGCCGAAGATACTCATATTTATCGACCGGATGCCTTCTTCCGACTTTTTATGTAGAACTCTCCGCGAAATCAAACGCGGGATTCGAAATGCGGCCGTAAATACGTTAAAATGCACTGTCTAGGAAGGCCGAA